GAATAAATGGGAGGTGCGCGGGTCTGTAATAACACGTTTAATAGTGTAAACTGTTCAAATGTCTGAAAGACGTCTGCTCAGGACCCTCTCCTGTACTGTTACAAAACAGAAGACAGTACCAGTTTAACAGCTCCAAGTGTCTGAGGCCAGGGAAATAATTGATAGCAGGCTGCCTGCATCCAAGGTCCTTTAGCAGTAATTGCAAGCAGAATGTGGCTCTCTGATCTCACCAGTGGTATTTGCCATGCCAAAACAGCCCAGATTTGACAGATTGCCTTCCTGCAGTAATAACTTAGGCATGTTCTCCACTTTCTCACACAAAGCCGCACAGCCTTCTTACCACAGAACACAGCTGAATTATTTTATGCTGAGTTTTGATTTCCCTCTTCCCCTGCTTTTGACAGGCCCTTCATAAAATAATGGTTTTATTTTCTAACTGCAGCAAATGCTCAAGGCATAGGTTTGTTCCCCACTCATGATTTCAGTAGCAACTACAACTACTTAAAATCGAAAATAGTGTTTAAGAGAAGCTAAATGTGTGGGTAGTTGACATGTCCATGAACTTTTTTTGTTTTCCCCTCTTCTTTTTCGCCAACATGATTTTTGGTTAAGATTTACATATTTATATATATAAAAAAAAAAAAGTGAAAAGTGATTAATGACTTTAACTATTTCTCTTAAATCTTTCACCATTTATTTAATGGCCCTTTTGCCCTCAATAATTCATTTTAAATAATTCTGTGACATTTATTTTTAAATTCTGATGAAGGCCTTGGTCGGCCGAAACGTCATGTTGTTTTATTAATAAAGCTTGAACTTTGAAGAGTGAGTGTTGCACCTTTGTTCAGCTCACATCATTTTCAACCTTAAAATCTTATACAGCATTACAGTTTGTCGATCTAAAATGGTAATTGTGCATTAACAGCTGTCAACCATGTTGGTACGCAAATGAGCATATTTATTTACACAGCACATTTTTTATTTTGGTCACGTATGCGCACCTGCGGACCACTTATGTGCACCCCTGATTACATTGTACTTGTATTCAATGACTTGTCAAGATTTTTATATTTCACCGCCCCTTAATTTAGTTACGTCATTTGCAATGCTTCGGGGATGAGGAATCCCAAAATAATAAAATAAAATAAAAACAATATATATAAGAAATATTTATATATTAGATTTATTTTATTATTATAAAATCATTACTATATTATAGATATTTATAATTATTTTATACAAGTGCTTTGAAACATCTTAAAATGAATTTTTAATGCGTATTGAGAAAATGGATGGTAACTATGCTTCAAAAGTGGATGTCACTGTTGTGCTTTACTATTGTGGTGAGAAGAAAGTGTGTCTGAACTGCTGACCTTGTTTGACGGTGGTTGAGGGGTAGAGTTTTCCCTGCTTGATGCCTTCCATGGCTGTTTGTAGTGAAGATGACAGAAGCTCTGTAATTTTCATGTAAAGCACCAACTGCTCAGCATAACTGTAAAATAAATGCACACGCATTTAATGCCACTCTAGACTATAGATCTAAAGTCTTAATTTCTGTTTTAATGGTTTTTGAAGTTACTGGTTATTATACAACACTAGTGACACTGTCCTTCTGCTGTCAACATGTATAAAACAAACAGCAACTGTGATCCATTGCTAGAGAGATCTCCTCACCTCCACTCTCGGCTCAGAGAGCTGACCTGATCGGCAACCAAACTCTGCTGCTGGAGCAGGCTGGTGGAAGAGAGGTCGGCCTGGGCATCCTCTCCACCCCGGGCTCCTGCCACCTCCACCATACAGCGAGCAAAGTCCAGCATGAACCGGAGCCTGCGCAGAGTCTCCGTGTGTTCTTGCTGCGGTGGAGAGAGAAGTATGGCGTTAAACTCAAACATAAACTTGCTAACATGATCCTATCAAAAAGTAATGCAGTAATTTGGTGCTTACCTCCATTAGGGTCTCCTCTGGTAGTTCAGGGGCTTCAAAAGTCACGGCTGAGATGGGGTCAGTGAACCCATAGCGGGGACTTGAGGGCCCCTCGTAGCCGTCCATGCAAATGCCTGTTTGTGGGTAGCGGCTGTTGAGGGACCCTACAGGACTAATGGAGCTTGAAGAGCCTGCTGTGAGACATTGAGGGGTTTGGGTCAGCATTACCCTGAAGGATCCATGTTAAATCTAAATAGAGTCAAAACTAGAGGGGGAAAAATAACTCACCTGAGAACTTCCTTGAGCGAGAACTCTGAGGAGGTGTTCCTCCACTGGGAGGAGAACCCACGGTGAACACCACTCGAGCAGGGCTACCTGAGCCCACCACGAAGCCTCCACCACCAGGTGGCGCTGTGAGTGGAAAAACAAGAGTGTGTTACATGAAAACTGTATATAGACTGGAGTTACGGCTGACAAAATTCAGCTTTGTAATTTATTCCTGTGATCACATTCTAAAATAGAGTGCACAGCATAAATGAGTACACCCCCTCTAAAACTTAACAAATTCAGCAATTACTTTTTACTTTGAAGACATGTTAGGGTTCTTTGGAGATGTAATGTTCCAACAAGCCTGCTTGATCAATTACCAAAGAAGAATGCCAAAATTATTCAGCAAAGTAAGATTTTCTTATCAAAGTGATAAAATGTTGTGTTGCAAAAATGAGTCCACCCTCCTGAAAGTTACTAAATAAAACTACAAAAAAAAAAAAAATGTGTATAGGTTTAAGGCTATTTTTGATCAACAGGTAAGTATATTGAACCAAAACTTTTAAAGACAAGTAATTTTAATTAAAAGTGTTATATAGCCCACTGGATCATACTCAGACTTAATGCTGGCAGCAATGGAACCACTTGGGAGAGAACTACCAGGTGACTAATTTCTTAGCATAAAAGAGGACAATGGTACAAGAAATAAGTTCATTTAACCTCTTCCAGGGCCCATATTTACAAAATAGAGACTTCTGGGAATCCGTACTCTGGTCTCAAGAGACCAAGTCAATCATTTCGGATCTAACAACATAGAAAATATTGGCATATATTTTGTTGTTTTTATTAAGTATAGGTTTAATATGTTATAATTCTGCCATCTTTCCATGAATTATATAAATTATATTAGTAATCATTAAGACAATACATATTTTATATTTATTCAGAGGGGGTGTACTCATTTATGCTGTGCACTGTATATTAAAATTATAAAAAAAAGGTAATTTATGCATTGATAAAATTAATACATTTGTCAATGAGCTCACCTGTGATGTCTATGGCTCTGTCAGAGTTGATATTCTCCATGCTGCCTCTTTCTCCTCTCTGCCCCCCAAACGCTGCCATCAGCAGCACATCAGATAGGCGGCTGGCACTCTGAGACCTGCCCCGACAAGAAAAAGAGTGAAGAAGATTATAAAAGAGAGCAAAAGAAGAGAAAAAATAAAAGCAGAAAGGAATGCAAAGGACAGCGAGGGTTGTATCAGCTTGAGTCCAGGGTTCCATTCCAAAACTAGGAAAGCTGACTAGCTTTTTGAAGAGCGTCATTGTAACTTAAGAGGTTCCATTTTGTTTACAACGCAGCCCATGTAGACAGCGAGACAATTACTATGGTTTGAAGAGGAGTAAATATCCATCCAATAATGTTTTTTCTTACCTCTCAAAGCCTTTCTTCTCCTCAGAATGGTAGGCAGGTGACAAACTAGCCTCTCCCTGAGCTGGTCTGAGGCCCTGGTGGGTCAGAAACGTGACCATGTTTGGGGAACTCAGGGGCTTGGGAAACTCAAATGGGGGCATGGTCTGGGATGGAGAAAGAATAGGATATTTTTACATCATTTGTTTTCATTTATCAGATGGTATTCACAACAGCGCTTAAAAAAATCTGGGGTCAAGAAGATAAAAAAATATATAAATAAGTACTTTTATTCAGCCAGAATGCATTAAATTAGTCAAAAATGGCAGTAAAGACGTTTATAATGTTACAAGGGATTTAAATTTTTTAAATAAATGCTTGTTTAAACTGTCTATTCAAAGAATCCTTAAATAAAAAAAATAAGCAGCACAACTGTTTTCAACACAGATAATTATAAGAAATCTTCATTGAGTAATGGCTGCTGAAAACTCAGCTTTGCTATCACAGGAATAAATGACATTTTAAAATATATTAAAACAAACAATCAAACAAAAAAAAAAAACAATAATATTTCCCAATATTACTGTATTTTTGATCAGATAAACGCAGCCTTGGTGAGCATAAGAGACTTCTTTCAAAAATATTTTAAAAATCTTACCAACCCCAAACTTTAAACAGTTTATATTGCGAGTTTATGGACACACAAACAGACATGAAATCTTACTCTGGAAGGAGAACCCAGGATGGCTGGTAGGGGGTTGCGTTGCATAAGTTCACTGAGCCTGGGTGAGGAGTGCAGGGTCCTAAAGGGCATCATGTTTCCCTGAGGGGCCACCACCGGGTCTGAATGCTGCTTCCTGATCTTCTGCCTGCACCCACCAGCCGCCTCCAGCAAACAGGGGGCGCTGTTGAGCCGAGTGCCCAGATCCTGCTGCTGTTGCCGAGCCTTGGTTTCTAAACAGATACAGACAGGAAGAGTTCAAGTGGAGTCATCCAAAAATACAAAAATAAATAAAAAAAACACGAATAAATAACATTCACATTCTGGGAAGAGTTGAAAGCAATTGTTTCCCAACTTTCTTGACATGCAATATTTACAAAAGGGAAAGTAATTGGGCTATGAAATACTGTCATCCCATTTAAAAACATGACAAAAACAGTATGCAAACAGAGGAAGAATGATTATACCTCCACCCCGAGAGCCCCTGTGACCCATTTCTGCAGTTGTTGGGCAAACTTGACCTGGCAACTCAGGAATTGTGCCCACTTTTGAAACAAAAGAAGGACAGAGAGAGCCAGAGTTTGTTCAGAAGCACAAGGTTTCTTAAATCATCTTTAGCTAGTGACATGACTAGGACAAAAGAAAGCAGCACTCACCCTGTGGAGAGAGCTGGAAGGGTTTCGCGCCTCCTGTAGACAGCCTGCGGGAAGTGAGAGCAGAACCAGACTGAGGAGGAGAAGGCCCTGTCCTTCCATAAGCCAGAAAGCTCCCGCTACCACATCTCTGGACTGTGCCAGACCTGCAAAAGAAAGAAAGAAAGACAGAAAGAAAAAAGAATGAAAGAGAAAGAAAGAAAGAGAAGAAAATTAAATGAATAAATACCTTTTAAAGTCCAATTGAACTGAATAAAAAAATTTAACTAAACTTTAGATACAAAACAATTCAAATTTGAATAAGTAAACTGAAATTCAAAGAAATGCATGTACTACTTTATTTGTAATTTTTAATAATACGTTTAATTTTTCTGTATGAATTGTCACGTTATTATACAAACAAAAAGTATTTCTAGAAAATGTTATTTAATTATGTTTAATAAATTAACTTCAATTTTACAGACCATGTTGGAACAATACTTTCCCAAATTATTTACCTAAAAATGGATTATCTGGTTATTTTTAATGTTAATGTTCTTTAAAAAAAAAAAAAGTGTCAAGACATTTTGTGATACTGTTTGGCAAAATTAAAAGGTTAAATTAAAAGTTTTAATGCTCAATTAACAGCACTGAACTTAAAGAGTATTGAATTTAGAGAAATACATCTTATCCCTTCAGAAAAATATTATTCTACAAATGAGAGCATAATAGGTTTTGCTGCAAAACTTGTGCTGCACCAAAGAAATGCCTCTGTTGTGTAACAGTGTTGACCTTCTTTGAATTAAAATTCAGTAAATGCCTCTTCTTGTCATTCCAAATCAACTTCCTGTGGAGCATGGCCAAGTGAATTAAAATTCCGATTCTTGAATTTCAAGGAGGAAATATTAAGAGTCACTCACTGTGGAGAGCCCTCTTGACCTGGGAACTGGAGGTTTTGCTCCATGCGCTGGTAGTTGTGAATCTGTGTGGGGACTGGAATGGGTACGGACTGCCCATAGTTGCCATAGTTACTCCCAGAAACCTCACTTGGCCTGCTGAGAGTTAGGTGGAAATAAAAAGTAGCGGGAGGGCCAAAGATATGGAGCAATTGAACAAATAGAGAGAGAGAGACAGACAGAAAAAAAGGGAAAACATAAAAGCACAAACATCAGTATCTTCCAGCACCCGATCGATAAAATAAAAACATTTCAAATCTCACAGGACATTTCTGGACAGAAGCAGAGGCTGGGAGAGATCTATGACCGCTTATTGTGCGAGGCTGTGGGTTTCATGGGCCGTGTTTAATAATGAAGGAGAACAGGACGAACTGTGCCCATCAAAGATGCAATCCTCAAGCCAATCTAGGACTCATTTCCCTTGTGGCAAAAGCTTTGAACTTCAATGACCCAGAAACCAAAGAGTGAAAAGATTAGCCTTTTCTAGACAGGAAAAGTAATTCTCTGTCTTGCTGCTACATGTAGAAACTGTGACCTAAAAAGGCCCGTGGTTTCTACTCGTAACTTGCATGTAGGGATGTGCAAAACTACATATTTTTCAAAATGCACTGGCGGGCAACCTGAATCTTTCAATACACCAATTAAAGCACCAGCTAAAACATAAACAAACAAATAAAAATAAATATTTAGAAATTTAAATCAATAAATGTAAACCAAAATAAATATAAATTAAAAAAATTTACAAAAAATAAATACATATAAAATAAAATAAATAATTCCATGACTAGACAACTACCATGACTCATCCTATTTGCTTGCAAGAAAACAGCTGAAATGCCCTGACATGAAAAGGTCGTTTTGTTAGTCATTTTTTCAGTGCCGTATGTTCATCCGGCTGTGGTCTTACCCGCTGGGTCCTGGAGAGCTGCTGTAGGAGGGAGAGCGTGGCGGGGTTTTTCCTTGACTGCATTGACCTCCAGATGCCAGAAGAGAACTCCTAAAGCAGGACAGAGATGGAGAACATTAGCAGTGGATTCATGCCAAACGATACTATAGAATATGTTAGCATGGTTAATTAGTGAGGGAAATTTACTCCATTGAAGTGTATCAAACTGAAAGTGTAATTACGCAAGCTGTAAAGTGCGTACAGGCTTTACAACCAAACATAAAAAACTGTGCCAAGTGTGTGGTTTCTTATTTTATATATTACCATTCAAAAGTCAGAGTCAGTATGTTTTTTTTTTTTTTGCTAAGAAAGAAAATGGTTCTTTTTTTTTTCAGCAAAGCATAAACTGATCAAAAGTGATTTATAATGTTCGATTATAATGTTAGTGCTGTTCTTTTGAACTTTCTATTCGTCAAAGAATGTAAAAATGCATCAAAAGTTTCAACAAAAATATTAATCATCACAATGGTTTTCAACATTGATAATAATATGAGCACCAAATGATCATGTTTAAATGATGTTAGAAAAATCATGTTGCAAACCGGGTTCAAACTTGCATCAGCTACATGAGCAACAGCACCAGTGCAATTTGTGGGCATTACTGGAGTTTGCATCTACATTTATGAATTTGGCATTTGTAATAAAATGTCTGTCCCCAGGAATCAAACCCATAACCTTGCCGATGCTTCTATCATAATAAACTTGGTTTTTAAATTTGTATGATAGATAAACTTTTATAGTCAAGCAGGAAAGAGATTTTGTGGGATCTGTAAACTGTTACAGGGTATATACAGGAATCATGGAGTTAAATTTAATTACTTTTAAGACCTTTTTTAAGACTCTTTCCATACATTTTAAGACCTCATCGCCACTCCAAGTTTTAACCGGTTACATCAACTAAACAGACTTACTTTGTGATAACTCCTTATCAATACAACATTATTCAGAAGTGGGGAACGAAGCACAACAGAATTAATTTAGTGACTAACCAATGCAACCCAAGAAACAAGAATTAGACCAATAAACAAAACAACTGACAAAACTTATTGAGGAGGGAAAATAAAGCTCTCTGAGCTAACGGGGCAATGAGTTCACACAGTATATTCAAAAGATGTATTTGTCACATCAACTCAAACCATAGCTGTTTTGTGGAACACTTCTCATGATCAGACAGTTTACATGTGATTACGGAGTGCTTGATTTGATGCAGACTTGACAGAGTGTCAATATTGCACCTTATCGTGTCTGAATGATCATGGAAGGTAAAATAATGATCACAACTATTACATCATTTTAACTGTGCATCCCAAGCCCATGCCAGTAAAAAAAAAAA